CTCTAATATTCCACCCGTAGTCTTTACGACCCCTCTAACTTCCATGGTTCTGCATTCGAAAATCTCCCTCTCTCCAGTATAGATCTGTCAAGACGTCTTTATTCTCTTTTCCCAAAATACGTCAGGGAGAGCTGCTCCTCTTCATGATGGCTGCGCCCTGATCCCAAACCTCATGGTTTTACCTCTAACGCCAACTGAGGGGCAGTTTTATTGTCAGGGCTCGTCGTCCCCATACACTGCAGGGTGTCTGGTGACATCCCTGCCCTCAACCCATGAGGCCCAGTAGCAGGCCCTCCCTCCACACTGGTACCAACCAAATCCCTCCCCAGATATCGTCTGCTCTTCCCTGACAGGCAAAACCATCCACTACCGAGAACTACTTCTTTAAAATGACACTGAGAGACCCTCAGTAAATGTTAATTCTTTGAATTTTTTAAATTCTTTTCCTAATAGTCCCCAAACCCTTTCTGCCAGTTTAATCAAGAATATACAGTACTAATTTTGCATATTGTCTCTGTCCAACTCGAAGTGGCCTTTTTCCTCTTCTGGTCTGTCCATAATTCCTAGATAGTCATCCACAGCAGGAGACATCTGTGATTAATTTCAGACTTTTGTGTGATCACTGTAGTTCCTTGGAATTTTTTACTACCATTCTCATAGTCTTGCTTTCTCTATCTGTGGTTTAAATGCTGTTAAGTGTTTTCCAGAGTTCTAGCTGCAGTTCTCACTTGTACCTGTTCTATATTCTCCAAGCACAACGCTTTCCTCTCTGCTTCAGTTCCATAATAATGACCATCCAAATCTCTGTCTCCAGGATGAACTATCACCTGAAACATAAGTGGTCTTTCTAATAGAAAACACCTGAGGAACCTACAGATTCCTCAAAGTCAGTTGGTCCAAAAAAATGTTGTCTTCCCTGACCAAACTCTTCCTACTATCTCCTTTTCTTAATAAATTCATTATGCATCCACATGCCCAACATAGGAACCTTGGAAATTCCCTTACTTGCGCCTTTCACATAAGCCATCTCTAAATACGTTCTCTCCATATTGCTCTAACCCAGCCCCAGTTCACTCCGTGAAGGAGCCTAGATTCCTTGCCCCTGCCCGACCCTTCTCTGGTCTAGCTTCACCTTTCTTTTCCCTTTGAAACTTGGTGCTTATGTATCTTTGACAACTTCCCATTGCCTGGGATGCAAACCCTGTGGTGTTTTACAAAACATATTCACAGCCAGGATGCCACCTACCATTCTGGCCTCCATTTGCCCCATGCGTTGCAGCCATAGCCCATTCTTCATTCACTAATATCGTCTACGTGTCTCTAAGGTAGGCTCCCTGTCAGAAAACTGAAACCTTGCTCGTTTTTTCAACAGAGAAAACTAATGTCAGGGGGCTGGGGATTTAGCTCAGTGACATAGCGCCTGCCTGGCAAGCATAAGGTCATGAGTTCGATTCCCAGTACCGGAAAAAAAAAGAAAACTAATGTCAGGAAATGGGTAAACAGCTGTTTGAGAATTTAGCAATGAAAAGAGGACACTGAGGAAACACTGGGATAATAACTACTCATCTAGGTAGCAGCTACTACTCTGGGGATGGAGAGTGACAGGAAGGAGAATAGGGTTTTCAGGAACTAAGAGTGTGGACCAAGAGACTTCATAGGTCTGAGATCTGTACCTCTGAGGAGGGATAATGCCTAGCTACCACCTGGTATCTCTGTGATAGGAGGTGAGGCTCGAGCCACTAGGGAAAGGATCTTGCCTGGCTGGTGCAGGAACATTCATGGGTGAAAGGAAGCTGGTTCTGAATCAAGCTGAGCACTGGAACCAAATGCTGCTGTAGGGATAAAGTCTATTGCTGAGGCAGAACAAGGAGGAAAGCCATCCATCAGAAACGAGGGAATTTCTTCATTCATCCTTCCTTCTTTGCTCCCTCCAGGGCCCCTTGTTGGTGGAATTGGCAGATGACTTCTGTCAGGATGCTGGCTTCAACATCAGAAGGGCAGACGTAAAGTTTGGGACAACTGCTTAACAAGCAACACTTGTATCTTACATCACCTTGCCTTTACTCATACAGCTGCCCCATCCGTAATGTTCTCTCTACCAATTCTGCCTGATGCGACCTTTACTCAGAAACAGTGTCTTTGCTAAGATCATTCCCAATCTTCCTCAAAGCAATTGTTTCCATCCGCATTTGAGTTTCACTAGCAGTTTGCAAATACTTCCTATGTAGTCTTTTTGTATCGCACCATAATATTTCTACATATGTGTGTTTATTTTCCACCAAACTGTGAGTTCCTTTAGGGCAGTTAGAGCTACATCCACAAGTTCTAGCAGCAAGCCTGACACAAAAAGGATGTTGGTTGAGCTGGATGAAAGCAACAAGGGCATTTTAATTAAACTAACATTAGACCACTTCTATAGTTTATCCTCCCAACCACATTTGAACTTCATAAAAGCAGACATCACGCTTTATGTTTCTTTGCATTTCTTAACTATGTTTAGTACAAGGATTTATATGCTGAAGAAGAACTCTATGATTTTTATCCACCTAGTTTGTTCATTAACTGACAGAATTTTGGTACAAAATGATATGAACATGGAGCATGAGGTTATAAAAATCAGATGAGATCTATAGTGAGGTTTAAATGTGCTTCTAGCATCTGATTCCAACAAATAGTTCGCATTATAAAATTCAGCATTTGTTGAATTTTAATGGGAATAACACAATCAAGATATCTAATGCAATGTGTCTTATAGTAGATTCTAAAGTAATTAAATATATTCTAGGTTTCATATTTTCTGTTTGTATCTTACAGGAAATATATTCCTCCAATCCATGAAATGATTAATCCTGGGCCACATGAGTTCCTTATGTATGCATTAAATTTCTCATGACCATCAAAATCAACTAGTAGATTATTTAAATGTAGGAAAGATATTGAATTTTAACTTAATCACCAGCTTCTAAAAAAAATAAAAAGAAGAAACCCCTGTTCAACAACTGATTTATATTCAGGTCCAAGTAGAAGAAAAATAGCTTTTTTTAAAAGGGGGAGTGATATTTAATTAACTATTGATTTCTTCTCAATTATTCAAGGCAAGCAATTATCGATATTGATGGAACAGATATTTCCTACCTCTAGTGCCCAAATGAAAGGAAATATCCCATTCAGCACTCTGCGGCCAGACAAGAAATGCTGGAAATAGTTATTTGGGTCTGTTTATTCCATATTGCCCCAATTAAACAGATATTTCTTCAAGTGTAAGCAAAACAAAATCCTGAAACTCTATGTATGCTTTCCATTAGGCCAACCACAGAGCTACAGAGCTTGACCTTTACAACCATAATTCATAAAATACTACAATCTGAGTCTGGTGCTTATGATTTCTTAGCCATCCAATAAGAAGTAACTTATATAATAATTAGAACCCATGGAACACTGTTTTGTATATCAGTATTTTGAGCCTGAACGATTTTGGACCCTTACCAGTCACTGCTGAATTTATCGATAGCAAATGTGGATACATTTGCAAGTTAAGCCTACACTCTATGTGTAACTGCCTTGGAGGTCACCAAAGGAATGTTGAAGAAGGTAGTCCAACAGGCCTCTGTTTAGGGCATTTTGTTGTTAGTTCTGTGAATATCTACCCCATGTTTGTTCAGCCCATTTGCACATTGAATATTAACATGTTTGTGGGTAAAAAGCTTCTCTTGACACTATTACTGAATGCTATTAAAAGACAAAGCAACATTCAGTATAGACTTACTGCTTGGAGGGTGGCAGTCATTTAAAATTAGTATTCCCTTAATAGTAACATTAAATGTGTATACGAGTATGTCTGCTGAAGTGTTTAATTTATGTAACATATCTACAAAATTTGACAATCTCATTTTTAAATAAAAAGTTATATTTTGTAAAAGCTACTTTTTCTGCTCTGTCCCCTACCCTCACCCTCCCCACACTCTAGAGGGGTCTTTAAGTGAAATGCTTAAGCAGCATTTGTTGTTGAGAAGTGTTCTTCGCTCTTTTATTCTTTGTTGTGTTAATTTCCCTGGGTTCTATTTAACATTCTGCTAAATCAGTGAAACCCTGATTACCTAAAAGGATAAGAGACATGGAATTAATGAGATTAACCAGAATCGTGAAGACACAGAAATTCTCAGACCTGAAAGTTACATGACAAAGGCTGTGGGTGAATTCTAGTCTCGAGTTGCTCGTCTTGATTTATTCAAACTGATCCTATTAATTGATGGACATAATGAAGTTTTGGAAATCAGGGTTTCACCATTACATTTATCACCGTCCCAGAAATCAAGGTAACCTTGGGCTCTGCTTCCTGTATTTACAAGACAATAAAAGTCCTGATCGGCTGTCAGGACAAACGTGACTGCTCTTCCTCACACGCCTCCTGTGAACCAAGCCTTGCCTCTTCCCATCTGGCTGCTGCATGCCCGGAGCCTCCTTTCCCCTCCTCCCCGCTGCTCATCCCCGCCTGTCCCTTGGGCTCTGTCTGCATGTACACAGCTGCTGGGAGCCACACGCAGGGAGAATGGCCTGCCCCTTGAAGATTCTGGGTCATTTTAGCAAAACTGCTTTGCATTTTAAATACCACTCATTTGGCTTCAGAGCTCTGCACTCTTGTATCAGGCACTTGTCTTTTAAAGGCCCAGGAGGTCACAACAGGTCCCAGGTCCACGAAGAGAAGATAACTGCCAACGCAGGAGTACTGCATTACTTTTGTATTGGATAGCCCGAAAGGGGCAATGCTAATATCCAAGATTGCAGCAAAAATCTATATGAAAAATGACTAATATGATCAAAACAAAGGCAGCATTTGTTTGGGAATCGGAGTCACTTGCTCGGTTTGCGGCGGGGAGGGGGGTACCCAAGATAGCAGGATCGATAGAGATGTTTTATACAGCTGCAAACATGATGCACCCGATGAACTTAAATTGATTCTGCTTCTTCTTCCCGCACCCCCACCCCATCCCATTCTGCAGCGAATGTCTGCGACAACGAGCTCCTGCACTGCCAGAACGGAGGGACGTGCCACAACAACGTGCGCTGCCTGTGCCCGGCCGCGTACACCGGCATCCTCTGCGAGAAGCTGCGGTGCGAGGAGGCGGGCAGCTGCGGCTCGGACTCGGGCCAGGCGGCGCCCCCGCAGGGCTCCCCGGCGCTGCTGCTGCTCACCGCGCTGCTGGGGACAGCCAGCCCCTGGGCCTTTTAGGCGCTGCATCCAGCCATCGGACAGGCCTGTACCGTGGGAAAACAAACACAACGCAAGCACTTGTTACTAACGTCGAAAACACACCCACACCCCCTCCAACACAGTGTACCAACGAAGGAGGCCTAACTGAACTAAGCCATATTTATCAGACGGGGACGACACATCGGAGTCAAGACTCTTAATTCCTGACTACAGAGGCGTTGCAGCTGTTGGTATTCTGGCTGCAAATCACATCGCCAGCTGAGGAGCTTTTTGTGCATTGGAAAGGCTTTGACAGCCCCACCCTGCCCCCACCAGGAAAGACAGCAAAAACAAACAAGCAAACAAATCAACCAACCTAAAAACACTTGCTACTCTAACGTGGTGCATCCTAGTACAGCTCTGCCCTGTGTGGACCAACCAAATGAACGTTCTTTGCTGTCAGGTGCACTGTGGGTATACGGAAACCTGTTAAAAGCTGCCATATTGGCCTGCTTCAGTCCCTGAACCCCTCCCGACCTGTGCTTTAGTGAACGTTGCTCTGTAACCCCTGTTGGTTGAAAGATTTCTTTGTCTGATGTTAGTGATGCACATGTGTAAAAGCCCCCCTTCCCAAGCGCAAGCCAGTCATACCCTTGTATATCCTAGCAGCACTAAGTCAGCAGTGTGTGCTCACACCCACTGTACAAGAGTGGCTATAGAAAAAAGAAAGTGTATCTATCCTTTTGTATTCAAATGAAGTTATTTTTCTTGAAATACTGTAATATGTAGATTTTTTGTATTATTGCCAATTTGTGTTACCAGACAATCTGTTAACGTATCTAATTCCGATCAACAAAGACTGACATTTAATTTTGTCCTCCTTTGTTCTGTTGCGTTTCATTGTACAGAGATTTCTCTGTAAGGGCAACGACCGTGCTGGCATCAAAGAAGTATCAGTTTACATATATAACAAGTGTAATAAGATTCCACCAAAGGACATTCTAAATGTTTTCTTGTTGCTTTAACACTGGAAGATTTAAAGAATAAAAATTCCTGCATAAACCATTTCAGGAATTTGTATCGCAATTTCTTAAGATGCAAGAAGCAGACGCCAAGCAGGTTCACACTCACTTCACTGATTTCTGTGTGGACGTTGAACTGATGAATGTAGTTCCCAGGAAGATGGATTCACGACCACTAGCTGGACAACTTCTGCAAAATATGAGACTATTTCCACTCGGGAAAAATTATAGCAGACAAAAGAAAAAAGAAAAAGAAAGGAAGGAAGGAAGAAAGAATCTAAGTGATTTCCAAGATTATGCCAAAGCCTGTTGGCAGAGTACTAAGAGACTTATCTTTGAGTCATGCTATTTTCACAGAATGATGGTTATCATGTGGCTCTAGGGATGCTAATCTATGTATCTTTCCAAATACAGTGTTTACATGGAGGATCATAAGAGGCCACCTGGGGAACCAGGACAGTAACAGGGAAATTGAGTGATTAGCAATTTGACTTTGGATATATTCAGACGAAGTATTTAAATGAAATATCAAAATATACAGCAGCAAGTAGACATAACTGCTGTTGCTGAGAATAAAGTTTGTTTTAAGTACTGCCCAAGGTGTAATAAATTCTTGTTTCTGCCTTTTACTAGGCCAATTACCGAACAAGACAGCAAGGGGAGGAGGGTGGGGGAAAATCCGCAAAGTTTCAAAGAGACTGAAACAGTGTATATTCCATTCCTAGCACAGTGTTGGCCTATATGTTACAAATGCGTTAGCAGCAGCATCTCCTGGAATCAAAAACAATTATCAGTCCAAGCCAGAGTCTTAAGGACAGCGGAGTCCTACATGACTTGGTAGAGCAATAACCTATGATAGTATTAGGTCAGAAGCCTCTTTCTAGTCTGAATTCTCCACCCTGCTGCCACTCCTTGCTGGAATGGGGTGGGGGTGGGGAAATGCCTTCTAATAAATAACCTGAGTCAAAACTAGATGAAGGAACAGCATGTCTTATTGGTTTTGTTCCCAGAAAAGCCAATTCGAAGAAGGCAATAAAAGGTAAACAGGTGATGCCTGTACTGCCTGCCACCCCGCGTCTAAGTCGATTGAATGTTTGTTATTCAAACCAACAGTCTCTTTTGAAATAAATAAATTAGAGCTTTGGCTTAGTGTCAGAGTGACCAACCATAAATCGGAGATTTATATTAGAAAGATAAATATAAAATTATATTTCAAGCTCACCAAAGAATGCACATGAAAATTCTGATAGCATAGAGTTTCAGATTACTAACAATGAGATAGATTCCTAATATTAAAATTGGAGTTTAAGTTGTTTTATAGTTTATTAGCACAAACCAAAGGCAGACTGTGTGTTATTTCTGGCAACGATGCACTTTATCATTATCCGCTCATGGCTTTGTCACAATGCTCAGGAATCAGATGCTGCACAGTTCAATATGTGGGATTCCAAAAGCTAATTCTAAAATTTAATGAAGACCTGATCTATTCATCTGCATTTTATCTTTATGAGGCTATAAGAATCTAAATTGATGAGAAATATCTTGCATTCAGTGTATTTAGATATAGTTTTCTGAATTTCCTGAAGTGATGTGATCTGCTTTTAATAAAAATTCACTTTTAGGTATATGATGGAAATGAAATGTTCTTTTTAATTTGGATTCTCAAGTTCTTTGAAAAGACCTGTTTCTTTGAAGAAATCTCAACTCAGTGGATTTTGTCTCCTGCTTTCCAGAATGATTGCAAATCTGTTTTCATCTAAAATACTGTGCCCTAACAATAGGATAGGGAGGATAAAAGGGGGTACTAACGTGTACCCGCATTTGAGGTCCTAGTTCTTGCTTTGTTTCTACTTGGACATTGCCCTTAAGGTGGGACAATGTAGACTTACATATGAGTTAATCCGTTAATTTTCCCACAAAGTGAGAGTGTGATTTATTCTGTCATTATTGATGACTATAAAATTTCAAAAACCAGGACCAAGTGTCAACTATACAGAAACTGTTGTTATTTACAAGAAATAAATCTGCCTTGTTGTGGTAGAGGAGAGATTCTTTCCTGACACTGTACAGAGCATCAGAGAGAACATTAGTTCCAGCAGAGAAGGACCCTTGCTGAGAGGGACCTTTTCGCCCTTCCAGCTCGGTTCCAGTCCCCAGGCTACCCACGTGTCCTCCACCCTGTGCAGGGACAGGCTTGGACTTCTTCGTGGGTCTATACTCCTGGTGGTAGGCGGCATCAAGACTGCACCTCCCTGGGCACATGGGTTAGCAAAGATTGGATTAGTACCTAGGGGCTGGATAGTTCGCTGTTCAATTCACATGTGACCAAGGAGAGGTGTTTTACAATGAAACTCAGATTTCCAGGGTAGAAAAAACAGGTGAGAGTAGGAGGGACCTAGATAAGTTCTCCCTACGGCCAGAACTCACAGCCGTGCAAAGATTCTGTAGCTATGAGTGCAAAGATTCTATACCTAAGAGGTACCTGAAAGGTCCCTATGTACCTCTTAGGCTTCCAATCTAAGAAAGCACATGTGTCCAAGCAGCAGGGTGGAATACACGAACACTTTGTTCAAAGGATTGATAGGTAAATTTTAAATATTTCCATATATGGCATATAAGTCTCCTTGATCCTTGATCTGGGCCCTCCAAATATTTGAGGTTGAATCTCCCTTAGGTATCCTGAAGTCAAGTCCCTGAGCTGTTATTAGTCCCTCATCCAGGTAATGTGGGGGAAGGGACAGGCCGGAGGAAGGCGTAGATTCCACAGTTCAAGCACTCCTGCTGTGATCTGTCTTAGTCACTCTTCTCTTTGCTGGGAAAATGACTGGATACCCACGACTTAAAGGAGGAGAGGTTTATTTTGACTCACATTTTATGGAGCTTTTAGTCCAGCCTTGACTAACGCCGAGGAGTGATGGCACAGCAGGGGAATATGGCAAAAAAGAGACAGCTCTCAGCGCGGTGGACAGGAAGCAGGGAGAGTAAAGGGCCAAGCAGAGGAGAGAACAAACCCTTCCAGGCCATGCCCCCAGGGGCTCACCTTTTCCAACCATACTCCAGCTCCTAACAGCGAGTCGTCTCTAAACCCCCACAATCAAATCAAATCTTTGTTCTATCTCCTTAACCCTCCACCATCAAAACTCCATTAATATTTGATGTGAACGTAGTATTCTAAAACAGGGTACTCTGTGCAATACGGGAAAGAGTTTGATGCAATTCACTTGTTAATTAGTAAATAGAATACCTATTTAATAGTTTTTCTGCTTACAGCATTGAACAGTATACCTGGGAACTTTGAACTCTGCGTTCTATGTATTTCTTATGCATAGAACTTTGTATTCATGACATAGAGTCAGTTAAACTTCTGCTTCAGGAATCTGAGCTTGAATTCTTTCCTACCACTTTTGCTGCTAGCTTTTCTTGACAAAGATGAAGGAGAAACTAAGCCACAACTTGGAACCAAGTGAAACTGTAGGGTTTTTTTCTTTTAAAGAAACCCAACTGGATGGCCGTTATAATCTATAGAAATGAAAAATAGAAGTAAGAGATACCACAGAATTTTTATTCAAATGTCTGGCTGTGAACAACTTTCTCTGCCTCAGGAAATCTGCACTAGATTCTAATGAATTTTATTTCTAACAAATATCAATGTGCATCTGAGACAAACATTCTGACCACTTCCAGCCGTTCTGATCATTCTCACCATATCCCTACAGAATGATTTTTTACTTTTAAAGCTGTATTTTACTTTCAGTAGCTTTCCCCTTTAGTTATCTAAAACCAGCGCCAACAAACCCCACATAAAATGCCCATAAATATAATATGATGTAAGAAAAAATTAAGAACACCAACTAGCATATTTTGAATTTTTGCCAACAATCTCTAGAATGCAGAGCGCTTTTCCTCTTCTCAATACCTGGTAGGTGTGACTCATGTGCTACCATCTTTATTATGTATCTGAAGAATCCAATAGCTAAGAAGCAGACGCTGTTCCTTGTGTAAATCATACTATTACATGTAAGTAGAAGTGAGAAAATAACATCTGTGAAAAATGTGTTAATATACAATAAAATACACTATGGTCTAGTACATTTTTAGAGTGGGTTCTGAAATAAGTCCAGCAACATGACTTGAACAATTTTAGGAGGTATTGTTTTTCAACAGTTAAGCAGTTAAGAAATTCTGGGATGCCTCTTCTGCTTTCTCCCATCACCCCAAAGACGTTTTTAATTGATGGATGGATTAAAATGGAGTCGTAACATTTAAAGTTATGTGATGTTTTTATTAACCTGAAATGATAGCTGGTAAAATGGGACACTATTCTGTAAAATCTAATTATGTGAGCACTAAAGATTTAGCTAGGCTGGCGGAAGCAAACTGCAGAGAGTTAGGAGTAAAAATAACCTCTATTTTCTTAACTTAGTTCCATTTATTTTTCAGGGGTGTCACTTTTAACTATTATTTAATTAGTGAACTATGAATTCTAAAAGAAAAAAATGACTAGAAGGAGAAAAAATAATTACTACCTCTACTACATCTGTCTGACTAGACAGTGAAATCCACGCATAGCAAGAATGTGTCAAGTTACTGTAAAGACGTATAATGTACCACGCTTGTATCCTCCAGCAGCCCTGAGAGTACCACATTACAGCCTGGATCTTACAAGGGGCAGACATTCTAATCTAATAAAAGAAAGAAAATGGCAGAAAAATCACACACCTGAAGTCCTGTTAAGAATAGGTGATTCTCTTTGCCCCAGGCAGGCAGGAACATAATGTCATTTTTGTTCCTTTGTATTTGTGCTCAGAGGGAGGGCTGCTCCTATTGGGGAATGGTTTTCCCCTCTGCCGGTGTGAAACACTGCAAGAAAACATCCTCCAAGGAAACAGCATTTTGCTATTTACCAGTCTTGACTACCCCACGAAGCCCTGAGTAATTGTTTTGGCTTGCATGGTGTGATAAACACCTAGAGGCAAAGAGATTAGTGTCATCACTCTCGGTCTCTTTTTCTGTCCCTTTGGAAAAATAATGGGGGGCGAGGGGCTCCAAATATAGCATGACAACAATTGCTGGAATCTTTCAGTCGGCTGATGTGCAGTTATGATGACTCTAGCTAAATATTCAGTTTATTAAATTAATAGTGTGACAAGTATTGGAGCCGTTTTACAACCACTTAAACTCGTGCTTACATCCTGTGTAATTACAATTCATAACTGGGAAAGCAGTCCGATCTAAATGCATTCTGATCAATGGTACTCAGCCTGCCAAGCACAACACACATTACAGTAAGTGACTTCTAAATACATGACTTCTACTAAAATCCCAACCAGTTTAGGAGGGCCAAGTACAGATTTTGTTTTACTGAAATATTTTAAATTATTTTAAAATTGTTGATAGGGTTTTTTTTTTCTGGGCATAAAAATAGTCTATTTTAAAAATTTATAAAAGCCTAAAAGTGCAAGAATGATTACTCTTTAATCTAAAACTAAGACATTCCAATTGTGAAGGTCTCGTCAAATAATAAATTGTTGTCACAGGACAAATGATAATGATATGCAATGTATGGAAGCACATTCTCCAGTAATCAGTTTCATTCATTTCATACTGACTGTATTTCTACCTCATCTGCCAAGGACATCTTCATTTCCTCTTGTAGATATAAATACATATCAAGTTTGATCATTGTTTCAGAGGCCAGGTATAAAATACAAATGACAAGAGTCCAGATTGGGACACGAGTACAAGTGCCAACTGATCAAAGTATCTTGGCCACATTGGTATATTTCTCATAGGAGCAGGTAGGACCAAGGGGACCTTACATCCTCTGGGTCCTGGACCAGCCTTCCTTGAGGGTATGAAGGGTAACAGTTCCAGGGAAGAATCCAAATAAAGCTTTTGGGAGAATGTGTTCTTGTGTTTCTAAGATCATTAAATACTTGCATTACTATTTTGATAATAAAATCCTCATGTCTCATAAATGGTTCCTGCCAGGAATATAGCTCAGCAGCACAGCACCTACCTGGCAAGCACAAGGTCCTGAGTTTGATTCCCAATGTTAAAAAAAAAAAGAAAAGATTCCAAGTCACTGATAACACAATTGTAGAAATTAGAGCTATGTCATTTTAACTGATTTCAAATATATACATGTTTCTGGGTAAATTCTCATGTTAATCCACACAACATATTTACATTGATTATCACATATTTATTAATAGTGAGGGCTTCCTCTATTATAGTCAAACAACATTCAATTGATTTCAGACTTGTCTACGAGAAATTGTTACCAAATAGATAAGTGAGATTCTGTCCCTGGAATTAGGATTACACTCTGAAAAAGTCTGAAATCATATGGACCCTAACTCTCTGCTTAGGGTTTTAGGAAGCACAACCCACTTTAATTTCTCTATTGCAGACATTTTGCTAGAAAAAGATTCAACCATATCATTGCCACACTAGTTATAAAATCTATTTAAAGAATATGTGAAACAATGGAACACACTTAGATTGAATGCAAAGTTATCTTCTTTTCTTTATTTTTATGATTATTGTAGCTTGTGAGAATAAGATCAGGAGCAAAGGTCTTTCTAAATGTCTTTATGGTTCCTGAATTGTGGAAGATAACTACAAAAGCACTTG